TGGAACTAACTACAAACGTAGGAATATCTAATGTCCATTCAAACTTACAACTTCAGTTACATGAAAACAACAGCATTGTTATATGAGGCTGTCTACCTTTCCCACTTGGCCACTTTGTTGTTGATCTCTGTTAGTGATGATGGAGTCAATTTAGAATAAACTAAATTGTCAGCTCTTTGATTTAGCTTGTGGGTTTTTTTTTTTTTCACATCCATTTAGGACTGTTATGGTCAACACTTAGACTTTAGCCACTAAAGTACCCCATATCTACAGAAATGTAAGCAGATTTAACTGTACAACTCAGTTGAAGCATCATTTAAAAACTCCCAGCAGCATGTTAGGTGTGTATATAATGACACAAATTTTTATTTTTTTAAATTGTCTGTATTGTACAAGCTACACAATTAATTATAGACAAGCCAAAAGAAAAAGCAATCTTAGTGTATAGATGAAATTTCTGGGCATTTTGGCATTGTATATTCTTTTGATTGAATTTTTTTCAAAGTACACATTCATAGAATTTATGTTTTAAGGAAGGAGTTTTTATGTAAATGTGTGTGTGCGTTTGTGTGGGGGGGTGTGGGGGTGTGTGTGTAGAGAGAGAGAGAGAGAGACTACCGCTGCCAACAACAGTTGTGATCATCCTGTATTAATTTAACCTTTCCCCTACTTGGGGTATTTAAAATTAGTCATACTACCTCTTTATATTTTCAATCATAAATATGAGTTTATTAATAATTTTCTTTACCCTATGGCATTACATAATTGTCTATTTCCTCAGAATCAATTTCTAGAAGCCTAACCCCTGGTCAGAAGCTTGAATATTTTGAAAGTTTTGGTAACTACCCAGAAATACTACACCATCACCCCTCCTATTCCCCATCCCGACAACACTGGGTGGAGTTGGTCCTTTTAACCTTCGCTTTCTCTCTCTCTCTCTCTCTCTTTCTTTTCTGTGCCAGTACTGGGATTTGAACTCAGGGCCTGAGCACTGTCCTTAGCTTTTCACTCTAATGCTCTACCACTTGAGCCACAGCTCTAGCTCCAGATTTTTGATGATTAATTGGAGATTCAAGTCTCATGGGTTTTTCTGTCCAGGCTGGCTTTGAACCATGATCCTCATATCTTAGCCTCCCTAGTAGCTTGGACTACAGATATGAGCCATTGGCACCCAGCTTTAGCTTTTAAAGGCATTTTATTGTGTGTTTGTATTTTTTTTAATTAGTTAAGACAGAACACTCTTCCTATGTATTGCTCGCTTGTTTTTCAAAACCCTATACATTTGCTTACTTTGGTGGATGTGTCGTCTTGTTTTTGTCAGTCCTAGGATTTGAACTCAGGGCCTGAGCACTATCCCTCAGTTTTTGTGCTCAACCTCATGCTCTACCATATGAGCCACAGCTTTGCTTCTGGCTTTTTAGTGGTTAATTGGAATAAGAGTCTCTAATTGCCTGGGCTGGCTTTAAACTATTTTCCTCAGATCTCAGCCTCCTAAGTAGTTAGGATTATAGGCCTGAACCACTCGTGCCGGCTGTTTTGTTTTACTTAATCTTCAAGACCTCTAACATTTATAGTTGGTGATATAGCTGTAACTTGATAGATTCCCCCTCCCCCCCAAATTGCAACATCACAAACTGATCATTGAGCTAATAGTCAACTGCAAGTGATGGTTGTATAGTGAATCATAAGATCTGTTCATTTTGACAACGGGTTCAGTCTTTATCTCCATCAAGCATTTTCGACTGGAGTAGCTAACAAGTAGAAGAATGGAAATAAAATGATACACTAGTTGTGTTCATGTAGCGTTCTGAGTTCCCACATGTCAATCCTATTGTTTGTGTTGGATAGCCTCTCATTGATTAATACTCTTTTGTTGATGACTGATTTTCTGGCTAATTTCTGTGGTAGTCATTCAGATCTAGTACGATTTCCCTCTTCCTATCCAGCTTTTTTTTTTTTTTTTTGTCGGTTGTGGGGCTATCCAGCTTTTGTTCTCCCTCCTCTTCTTCCTTTCTCCCTAGTTAACTCCACTTAACTACAAACGAAAGTACATGAGTGTTGCCCCACGCTTCCCAGCCTAAGCTGGCAAATCCTTCACCTTTTACATGTCTCTGTCTCTGTCCTTTTACCCACTCTCCTCTATCTACCCTCACCTTTATCCCACTCTCCTCCTCAGGTCATAGAGTATGTTACTACTTACTTTGTTTGCTATAATTTTAATTGACCAGAAAAATATATGAACTATATAATTTCATCTAAGAGGTCACTACCTTGCAGGACCAGATTTTGTGTTGTTGGTTTAACTAAATATGTTCAGATTCATCAAGTGCCTACTGAAAGCTAGTTTAGATTTAGTTAGATGCTGGCATCTAACATGATACAAAAATTGTGAAAAAATGAAGATAAAAGCTTTCTATTCTTTTCAGAAACTACTAATAGAGCTGGGTTAACAAACAAGTCTACAAATTAAATGACTGGCAGTCCAGCGCAGAGAAGAGTGTATGTGTGCCTAGCATGTTCAAGGGGCCTGAGGATCTCTCTCTCTCTGTGTGTATTTGTGTGTGTGTCCTCTCCCTCCTTCCTTCTTTCCCTCTCCCCCTTTCGCCTTCTTTCCCTCTCTAGCTTCTTGGAATAAATAATGCCCTTAAGAAGTTTCTAAATGGCAGCCATCCAAGGCTTTGTTTGAGATTTACAGTTTTTCATAGTCATAATCTGACTGATGACAATGTCTTAGGGGAAAAATAATCATCTCATAGTATGGACATAAAACTGCCATAGCCCCACTTTTTCAACGAAGTCCTTGAATGAGCATGGGAAATATTTATATTTATCCCATTAATTACCTGCAAGTGTGATGCCACCATCATCTCCAGCACCAAAGCAGACCTAGGCCTCCCATGACTGGGGATAGAAACTCCCATCATTTATTTGGCTGCTGGTGGTACTGTACGAGCCAGTGCTATGCAGTATCCATGTCTGTCATCTTTCTTCCTTCCTTCCTTCTTTCCTTCCTTCCTTCCTTCCTTCCTTTCTTTCTCTCTCTCTTTTTTCCTTCCTTTCTTTCTTTCTTTCTTCCTTCCTTCCTTCCTTTCTTCCTTTCTTTCTTCCTTCCTTCCTTCCTTTCTTCCTTTCTTTCTTTCTTTCTTTCTTTCTTTCTTTCTTTCTTTTTTCCTTTCTTTCTTTCTTCCTTCCTTCCTTTCTTCCTTTCTTTCTTTGGCTTGAATTCAGGGCCTGGCACTGTCCCTGAGCTTTTTCAGCTCAAAGCTAGTATTCTACAACTTTGAGCCACAGCTCCACTGGTTTCAAACTGTGATCCTTTGATTCCAGCCTCCTAAGTAGCTAAGATTGCAGGCAAGAACCACCAGCACCCACCTCCGCCATCTTTCTAATACTGTCTTTGCTGTTTTTTGACTACTTATTCTATCAACAGAAAAATAGATGTGCTAAAGTGTCTAATTATGATTGTGGATTTGACTGTTTCTAACACCTCTTCCATTTTTACTTTATATTTTTAAGGCTATGTTATTAGATACATACAGACTTTAAATTGTCAGATACTTAACTAGCAAATTGGATTCTTTTATCATGGGCAACTGGACTTGCAGTTTTTCTTTTTGAAATCATCCTGGTCATCTCAGTCTGCACAGATATTTCCATAGCACTGGCTTTGATGCTGAGAAGACCTCAGAAATGCACTTGATATCATGATATGTAGGTCCTCCAGAAGGTTTTGTTGTTAGCAGGAGCAAATGAGATAACATAAACAAATATTTAGTACAGTGTCTGGGCTATAATTGACTTTCAAGTGTTTAGTACAGCAGGGAACATAATAAGTGCTCAATAAATATCCACTGCTAATTATGGTAAAGATGGGCACTCTGTGACCAGTGACTTTATTGCTAAGAATAAAGCTTAAGGAAATCCTTGAGCATTACACGTGAATACATACTACCTTTAGAAGGACAATGGACAAAAACCACTGTCTTATTCAGAAATAGAATACTATGTATAGAAATTAAATAATACACATTTGGATGTATCAAAGAAGTTAATCAAAATATAGAAAACCAAATATGAGGGCTGGGAAGGTGGCTCAGTGGCAGAGCGCTTGCCTTGCATGCATGAGGCCCTGGGTTCCATTCCTCAGCACCACATAAGCAGAAAAAAAAAAAAAAAGCCGGAAGTGGCACTGTGGCTCAAGTGGTGGGGGGTAGCCTTGAGCTGAAGAGCTGAGGGACAGTGCCCAGGCCCAGAGTTCAGGCCCCACGACTGGACCCAAAAACAAAAAAAGAAAAGAAAACCAAATATGAAATCTAGTTACAAAGAATATACTGTGATACTGCTTATATTTAAGTTAAAATGTAAATAATCATAGTATATATTCTTTATAGATATCTACAAAGGCGGAAAAGCCCAGAGAACAAAAGTGGGTTCTAGGTATGATTGCAGGGAGGGAGGGAGAGAAGTAGGGAGGGCTTTGTTTCCTGATGGTTCCCAGAAGTGACCTTGTCACAGCTGCTCCAGCCACAGGAAGTACCCACTGACCCACTTCCCCTTCTGTATTGATTATTAAAAACTTTTCTAAGTAGCTGACCATTGAAGGACAATTTGAGAATATAAAAAAGTCTAAGTAGGGCTGGGAAGGTGGCTCAGTGGTAGAGCGCTTTCCTTGCATGCCTGAGGCCCTGGGTTCGATTCCTCAGCACCACATAAGCAAAAAGAAAAAAGCCGGAAGTGGCGCTGTGGCTCAAGCTCAAGCCTTGAGCTGAAGAGCTGAGGGACAGTGCCCAGGCCCAGAATTCAGGCCCCACAACTGGACCCAAAAAAAAAAGTCTAAGTAGAGCCCTTAATTGAGGAATGGTCTTGAACTCTGAGTTCTTTCACTATCTCTGAACTCCTGAAAACATCCTTTGCATCTAGATGAAGGAAGATTTTAACATGTGCTTTGAGTTGGTTATCCTGTTCTGACTTCTGCTTTTCCCTCTCTTCTTTCTTAACAGTGTCATCAGCAAGGTGGTTCCAGCCCCGGAGGCTAAGCCAGCCCCTTCTCTGAATAGACCCAAAACCCCACCACCAGCCCCAGCCACGGTTCCTGTGCACGTGAACCCCACCCCCCTGCCACTCCTCGCCCAGGCTGCAGCATGTCCAGCTCTGGTGCCCTCCCCATCCCCTGCCATCTCTGGGGCAGGAAGCTCCAAGGCCCCTGTGAGAAGCGTAGTGACTGAGACAGTCAGCACTTACGTGGTACGTAGCATTTTCACAGTAGCTGAGAGCCTATTAGGAGAGCATTTTCCAGTAGAAGGAATAACCGTATGTGTCACTATTAAGTTGCAGAGGAAATTCTTCATAACAAAAGAAGTACTTTCCAACTTTTGGCTGAAAAGCATTACCTTGCAGCATTTGTCTGTTCAGTCTCTAGAATGTCAAAGCGTTGTTTTTCATTATTTTGTATTGATTTGGAATAAGATTGTATGCAACAGTATCGCCATATAAATACAAGAGTGAATGCTGACATTTAAATCCAAACTGAATTTCTTGGTCGAGCAATGGAGATACTCACTTAAAAGTGTTAGGTTTTTAAAAAGAGGTGGCCGAGTAAGAACAGCACCACGCACGTGGTATTCAGGTAAGGGGTAGGTTTATTCAGTAGACCTGCTGGGACCAGGCAAAGTTGGCACTCCACGCGCTGGCAAAAGAGAGCGTCTGGCCCAGGGTTAGGCCTTATATAGGGTAGGGGGTGGGGAAAGGTGAGTCCAGGTAAAGGGAAGTGGGATCTGGTGGGGAAAGGTGTGGCCACATCAGATTAAGATGTGACCTCAGCGGATGCAGATGTGACCTCTTCCAGGTGTCCCAGTTGCCTAGGTAACGCAGGTACTAGGCGAGGTCTGTTTGCCGTCCAGGAATGGACCTAACAAAAAGTACAATTTATGTCATATACACCGAATTTTATAAGCTAGCTATTTGTGAGTTGTAGTACTAATTACAGCATTTTATTGGCTAAGACCCAGAATGTGTCAGGGCTTGTATGTTACGTGGAAATGGACTTTTAGACTGCAGAACTTCCTCAGTGTACACGATGGCTTTGAGTTACAACATGCACCATGATTAATGAGTCCATATTGTCCAGGGAATGTTTTAGGTATTTTCTCCTGATTTTTTTTTTGGGGGGGGTCCAGTCCTGGGCCTGAACTCTGGGCCTGGGCACTGTGCCTCAGCTCTTCAGCTCAAGGCTAGCGCTCTACCATTGAGCCACAGTGCCATTTCTGGCTTTTTTCTTTTTGCTTATGTGGTGCTGAGGAATCGAACCCAGGGCCTCAGGCATGCAAGGCAAGTGATCTACCACTGGGCCAGCTTCTCTCCTGTTTTTCTTCTGGTGCTGGGGATTGAACATGAGCCCTGTACTTGCTGGGGAAGCACTACAGCACTGGAGCCACTCCCCCAGCCCTTGTCTTCCACATTCTTAACAGTCTCCAATCTTGTTCAAACCCAAATTCATTCTATATATGAAATATTTATAAAGCTATGCTCCATGGACACTGAAGAGTGACCCCCAAACACACACAGAATGCTTCTGGAGTGTGAAAGCATTGGCGTGGCCATGACCCCTGGCTCTGCAGATGGTTGTATGAGCCTGGCAATAGCCTTGGTCTCTCTGAACAGACATGATTGGGAAGTGCTGAGGTGGTATTCATGGTATTTATTGTTACAAACCATACAACACCATGTTACTTAAAGAAACTTAGAAGGAAATACATCATTAAATGGTTGAGCTATTATGATGTTACACAGAGCACAAAAGAAAATCATAAGTATTCAAAGAGGATATAGATGTGAAAATTTGCAGAAAATTATTAAATTATGCCAGGTCCTGGTAGCTCATGCCTGTAAATCTGGCTATTCAAGAGACTGACCTCCATGGCACACAATTCAAAGCCAGCTCAGGGCAGGAAAGTCCATTCTTATCTCCAGTTAACCACCAAAAAGCCAAAATTAGAGCTGAAGTTGGAAGTGGTACAGCACCAATCTTGAGAACAAAAGCTCAGAAATAGCACCTCGGTGCTTAGTTCAAGCTCCAGGAACAATCCCTACCCCACCCCCCATTTTTAAAAAAGTGATTTTCAGCAAGAAATTAAAAATGGTAGCATGAGCTCAAGTGGTAGACTGCCAGCCATGAGCGAAAAGGCCAAGGAAGAGCCTCAAGCCCTGAGTTCAGTCCCCTAGTATTGGCAGAAAGGAAAAAAACAGTAATGGTTTTCCACTGTATGTGTGGGCCAACACCATTGAGAAGGGTTCACAGGAATGACAATGTAACCAAGAAGCTTCAAAACCTTAGAGACACTGTGCATTTACAGTGTGAAAGATGTGACGGGGCACAAAGTCCATGTGTCACTGTCTACTGTTGGTGTTGGAGCAGCACTTCCAATCCCAGGGCTCATGTTTCCCATTCTTGACCTATCCAAAGGCTCTTCTATGATGAGTAAATACAGTAGTATGTTTGAGAGAACTTAGTGAACTGTGACGTATTGGGTGATGTCGATGCAAAGGCAAATTTTTTAAGTAGCAGAGTCATGGGCTGCTAATTTCAAGGAAGGTCACCCAGCAGCAAGACTGGCCATGCGTGGTAGCTTTGGGGCACAGTGCACCAGAACAACCTCAGCCCCTGGAGGGCTAGTGCATGGGGACGGCTGGCCATCTCCACGTGGTGCACTTCCCTCAGGCAGGGAGACATTACCTCTCACCCACTGCTGCTTTTTGGGTCTCTATAGAATTCTTTCTTCCAGCCTGGTTTTGATAATGTGAAATTTGAGGAAGTGGAACAATTAAAGATGCTTCCTATTTAACTGCTAAGTTAATAAACTCCAGAGTATATAATATTTGTAGTGAAATAGTGATTAAATGTGAGGTTCTTTGGCCTCCTGAACCCCTTATTTCATTTGCCATTTAGTTGATTGTACTTTTCTAAAAATGTCATGAAAGGAATGGAAAGTTACTTAGTAACAACTCTTTTATATCCTTGATCGTATCAGCCTGTTCAGGAGAAGGGTTTGGCTAATAAGTAATTGAGTGATACATGCATGTTTGGCTGTATGTATAATCCCCTGCCTGTGATGTGCTTCAGGAAGCAATGAGTGCTTGAATGCTACAGTCCAGCTTTCAGAAATACCAATTGTTACTGCCATTAAGAACCTAATCATGCCAGGCACTGGTGGCTCACGCCTGTAATCCTAGCTACTCAGGAGGCTGAGAATTGAGGATTGTGGTTCAAAGCCATTCCAGAGAAGGCTGTGAGACTCTTATCGCCAATAAACTACTCAAGAAAAGCCAGATCTGAGCTGCCACTCAGACAGAACACTAACCTTGAGCAAAAGCAGCCCAGGGGCAGCGCCCAGACCCTGAATTCAAGACACAGGATGGCGGGGGGGAGGAGAAGACCCTAATCATTAAGAACTAATGTGGCTATAGGAATTTTTCAGATGAAGCAGATTATACATCACTTTATCACATTGTTCACAGAGGTGATTATAAAATAGCATATACAACAAAGTTTAGAATATTCATTAGCAATGGTTTATCATAACTGGATGTGGTGGTACAGGTTTGTAATCCCAACCTAGCACTGTAGAAGCTGAGTCAGATGCATTACAAGTTTGAGGCCAACCTGAGCTACAAAGAAAGAAAAAGACAAAGGAAAAAAAAAAAGTAAGAGTATATCATTGATTTCATATACTTCCAAAAGAAGAACTGTGCTCATTTTGTTAAGAATTTTTTATTAGCATACATTAGTTGTAGAAAAGGAGTTTTATCGTGACATTTTCATGCGTGTATACCATGTGATTGTGGCTTTAATGAAGAGCTAATCTACTATGGTTTCAGGCTGATTTGTCAGGTATTTAGTAACCACTCTTTCTGGTCTTCTGTTGGTTCTTCTTCCCTATTCCATCTGGATTTGCTCCTTCCCCTGCAATCCCTTCAGATCCGAGATGAGTGGGGCAATAAGATCTGGTTCTGCCCTGGGTGCAACAAGCCTGATGATGGGAGTCCAATGATTGGCTGTGACGGCTGTGATGACTGGTACCACTGGTGAGTCCCCAGACCTCCACCCACCCCACTTCTGGGAGGAAGCAGGGCCTGTCCCCAGTTCAGGGACTACCCAAGAGTGGCCTGCCGAGTACAGTACTAGAACCTGGATGATTCAGTCAGTTGCAAAAAAATGAGTCTTTGTACTAAGGGTATTCAGCCTAAATTCTGAATAATTTTGTTGTCATCCTTCTTATAAAAATAAGTAAGACACATAGAGGTTTGCTTTTTCCTCTCTACTTATGTTCAGTATGAGCAACAGCCCTTCACAGCTCCAGGAAGAGGTAACTCCTTGAAAACAATAAACTTGATACAGACTGCAGAGATAAAGACAGCTAGTCTGTGTTTATACCCCTTCAGCAGCTTCTTTAAAACTGAAGAGGCTCAGTCAAAACATAAGCAATCTTTCTTTTATTTAGCTTTAAAATATAAAATGTAAAAGGATACCTGGTCAGTTATAACATATGATGTCTGTAAGATGAAAGTGGAGTATTAAGCCGGGTGCCAGTGGGTCACATCTGTCATCCTAGCTACTCAGGAGGCTGAGATCTGAGGATCACTGTTCAAAGCCAGCCGGGGCAGGAAAGTCTGTGAAACTCTTATCTCCAATAAACCACCAGAAAACCGGAAATGGCTCTGTAGCTCAAGTGGTAGTGCACTAGCCTTGAGCTGAAGAGCTGAGGGACAGCACTCAGGCCCAGAGTTCAAGGCCCACGACCGACAAAAAAAAAAAAAAGTGAAATATTACTAAAAAGACTTATATTATTCCTGGTTGGAAGGCTGATTGACCTAATTAATCTTCTGAGAGGGCCTATAAAAAGAAACATTAGGCCGGGTGCTAGTGGCTCACGCCTATAATCCTAGCTACTCAGGAGGCTGAGATCTGAGGATCGCGGTTCAAAGCCAGCCCGGGCAGGAGAGACCGTGAGACT